GCTGTCAAAATTTTGTAAGGGAGAACACTCCTGTCTGCTTTTCTGAAGGCTGAACACTTAGCACAGCTAGGAAGATAATAGGGCACCAGATACCTTTTATTTTGGTACTCAAAAGCCAGAAAATCAATATAGGGTTATCTGTTGTCATTTCTGCTTGTTTTCACAAACGTAGTGAATAGGTGTTTTACATGGGCTGGACTTCAGCTGATAGCCATTTATTTGCACCCCAGCCTTGGGTACTAATAAAGCAGACTGATTAGCTTATTTCATGAAATGAAAACAAGGAAAGTAGCACTGAAACCCAAACCTTCTCTTTGGTTTGCCATTCAGTCCAGAGATAAAGGTGAGTCTGTCTGCAAGATTTGAATCTGTCTGGTATTACATGAGTCCTTTGAAAGAAGAGTGTTTTGATGCTCGTGGGTACAGCTTGTGACTGCCAGTGTGCTGACTAGCAGGAGAAAAGGAAAGGAGGTCTTGGTCCATCAGCAGGTGTCCCTCATGTCGTGTGTCAGTAATCTGTGAAGAGGAAAAGTGACTGAAAAATAACTTGAATTTCTTCAGCCTGCACTGAAGTATCTTACTTGCTTTTATCTGAAAAAGAGGGTATAATACTGTGTTTCTCCTGCAGAATCACAGAATGGTTTGGATTGGAAGTTAGCATGGATAGTTAAAATTTTAAAAGTTTGAGAGTTCTTAGTGTAGTAAAAGGATGTAAGTGCCCATGATGTAGAGCAGTGCAGGAACATGAAGTTGAAGCTAATCCTGCAGTAAATTCAATGCAGCATAATATGTAGTACAGTGCACCCTAGCAAGGCTCTCTCTTAAATATGTATTTGCATGTATAGCCTGAATGCTAAAGCCACTCAACTTCACTGTGTTTTCATGCATAACATGTGCAAGAGAAAGCAGCACTTACTGTTCAAGAGACATAACCTGCACTGAGAGACATAATCTACATTACTTATTAATTTTACCAGACTGGGGTCTTTTCTTGATGCAGTGCTGCTTACATCAGAAACTTTTGTTTGCAGAAATGTGGTGGGTCAGTCCTTGAATACAAAGTAATCCAATACATGAAAGTACAGGGCGGGGGGAGGGGACAGAGATGAGGAGCTCTTCACCATTGTGTTATTGGAATAGTATTTGGAAAAGTAGGAAACTGAGAAGGAAAGGGAGAAACCACCTTACTTATGTGTTGTTGTTTGTTTGTTGACAGTAGTTACAGTTGGTCAGGGCACACATACATAAGTACAATAGGGTTAAGAAAGGCTGGAGATGCTGCCACCCACCCCCACTGGCTTCAAAGCAAATATATTGACTAAAAGCATACCTGAGGGAAACAAGTTAGACCAGGAGATAGGTAGTTTTGTGCTTTTGCATTTCAGGAAGATGGATCATCTCTCCTATGAAGAAAGGCTGAGAAGGTTGGAGTTGTTCGGCCTGGAGAAGAGGAGGTTCTGGGGAGACCTTACAGCAGCCTGGTACCTAAAGGAGGATGCTGGAGAGAGAATTTTTACAAGTGCATTTAGTGATAAGACAAAGAATTGTTTAAATTGAAAGAGGTTAGATTTAGATTGGGCATAAAGAGGAAATTCTTCACTGTGAGAGTGGTGAGGCACTTGAACAGGCTGCCTAGAGAAGTTGTGGATGCTCCGTCTCTGACATCAAGGCCAGGTTGGATGGGCCTTTGAGCAACATGATCTAGTGAAAGGTGTCCCTGCCCATGGCAGGGATTATAACTGGATGAGCTCTAAATCCCTTCCAATCCAAACCATTTTCTGATTCTGTGGGAGAGACATTATTATACCCTCTTTTTCAGATAAAAGCGAGTAAGATACTTCAGTGCAGGTTAAAGAAATCCAGGTTATTTTTCAGTCACATTTACAGTAGAAAATAATGTTCATTCTTTGTGATCTTATTTATTTGAGAAATTGTCTTTTGGCAGAGTTAATGCGGGTAAAAACAAGACCCTGAAAAGGCAGCACTGCTGCCAGTTTCCACAGATGCTTTTCATGGGTTCATTCCTTAGCTGGGCTTCCATCTTTGATACTCTCAGTAACTGTGCTGATTAACATCAAAAATATATCAATAAAAGGTTTCACAGGCATCTCTGTTACATTTCATATAGGTAATGCTATGAAAGATAAATTATTCTTGTAATTGTTTATAGTGGCTTAGTTTTGTGCTGGGACATTATCTTTAAGTATCATAAAGTTTCTTTAAAAATATTCTTTCACTGGGAACATTTCAGACAGACACAGGATTTTCAATGATATCATAAAGGAGGGTGTTGCCTACTCTTTGTCCAGTTCTTTCCCTCTTCCTGAAGAAGTGGCTGGAGTATTATCTTCCTCGGTGGATTTATTTTATCCTGTACCTCCTTGTGCTTAATATAGCTCCAGAAATCTCTGTCCTAAATGGAAATATGAATGACTCTGTTCCAGTACAGGAAAATAATTTTAAAACACAGCTATTAAATAAAGATCACTGAGGAAAAGGAAATGGATCTTTTGCTTTTCTTTTGGAATTGATTAACTATTAGTATGTCTTACAATTTTGGATACTAAAATCTATTTCAGGAGTTTAAGAAAACTTGCTTTGTAAAGCAAGAAAAGGTGTTGTGAAATCCTTGTCATGGTAAAAGCATTTTCTGGTTCATTATTTAAAATTCCCTTCAGTGGGAGCTGAGCATTGGTCTCAGTGGAATCCTTCAATGCAGAGGATTTGCAGCAATGATAAGTTTGTATCTATAAGTTTGCAACCTTACCTGAGAAATAAAGGCACTATTAAGTAACTACTGGGAACTCTGTTTACTTGAATGGATACACAGTAAAATGTTAGTGAACTTAATTAGTGTGTTTTGGGAGCGGTTTGTTCTTTACAACATGTTCTTCATGCTCTTGTGTTTCACAGAGGAAGCCTCATAATGCCTTGGTGTACAGATGGATGTGATATAGCAGCCACACTATTTTATCCTTTTCTGTGTCCCTTCTTTTTATTGTGTTGTCCCACTGTCTTTTACTGCTACATTCATATGTGATGGGGTTTATTTTCTTATAGTTCTTGCTTAGGTATATGAGGGCATGGAAATATCTGCTTAAGCAGGACTTCTGAGAAAATGGGGCTTGATAAGGAAAGATACATATTGGATAAGATTACTGCTAAAATGTTAACTTCCTTGTTTGTAATACCTAAATCTGTGGAGAGAACACGACTTTTCTGGCTGTGTGTGCTCTGCCTCTGGAAATGCCCATAGATCTGCATTCTGCTCTATTGTTGTCATGTACATCTTTGTAATCCTGTCCCCCTCTTTTTTCTCTCTGCCTCCACAGAGAAATGGAAAACCTTATGTAAAACTGCCATTAAAAAAAAAAATCTTATTCTAATGTTAGCACTAAAGGTACTACTTCAAATAATAACCACATCCTCCCTGGGTTTAATTATTGTTTTATGGTAGTTATTCTTCTTTAATTGGTTTCATATAACAGTCCTCAGGAAAACATTATTAGTGACCTTTTTTTCAAGGATATATGTGGTTACAAAGAAAGGGAGTTGTATTTTTCTGCTTTCATCTTTATTAGTTTTTCTATGTTGTTCATCATCATGACATTTTGATAATATCCAGGTTAACTGTAGTAGTTCATCCTGAATGTGAAAAGAGTAAAAATATGCGCAGTAAGAATTTCATCACAGTCTGGATTTTTATTTAAAGCTTTGCTTTAATGAAATAAAATATAAGCTTTGAATTTCTTCCCTTCATTTCTGCTCATACTTCTCTTTCACATTCTTTCTTATAAAGATATCTGTTTCAGACAATAGTTGTTGATGTATAATCTGATGTCTGTATGGCCATGGAGAAAGGGCTGAGCAAAATTATAAAGGTTGTTCATCTCTTAGCTTGCTTTCTAGCAAACCCCTGCACAACCCCATTGACACAGCAGCCTGCACCTGGGAAACACCATGAGCACTCTGGGGCTTGGGAGCTCCCTCTAAGCAGACAGAAATGGTCATGAATCAGGAGCAGAGGTAGAAAAGAAGCAGCTCTAAAAGTCTGTGCTATTTAGGTACTGCCTGGATTAAGCTGCATCTAAAACTGAAGTCTGGCTTTAAACAATTCCAACTACTTCTTTTGGAGCATTGAGTTCTGTATATTTGATTTTCTAGTATTTAATGGGTTTGAAAGAGGCATTGGCAGTTAGCACAATGCACTTAGTCAGTTTGTATAGTTTGTCTGAAAATCATACTAATGGGAAAAGCTGTGATGGAAAATCTGTTTTACAAGATTGTTATTTCTCTGAGTGATGGAATGCTTTTCTATGACAAAAAAAAAAAAAAAAAAAAAAAAAAAAAAAAAAAAAAAAAAAAAAAAAAAAAAAAAAAAAAAAAAAAAAAAAAAAAAAAAAAAAAAAAAAAAAAAAAAAAAAAAAAAAAAAAAAAAAAAAAAAAACTCTTAAGGAGAACCTAAGCCATAAGCCATAGTAAATCATACAAAGTTCTTGCTAATTTTTATCCCCTATAAAAGCAGTTTAGTTCTAGTTTTTTCTTCGTACTCTTAATTAGATATTGTAGTCTATATAATAAGTTACCCTGTTACTGAAATTAGAAGACGTTTAAAGTGTTCTTTGTTGATAAGCAGCAGGCCCAGGTAGGTGAAGAGAACTTATGAGAGCTTCATGTTAGGGACTGATTTGTCTGGTTTATTTTAAATACTTCAATAGTTAAAATGCTAAGAATGCTGTCTCCCCTTACATAATACTCTTAGCCTCTGAACTTTTTAGTTTTTGTATCACAGGGTTAAGCAACCCACAGAGTTATGAAATTTTACACGTAACAAGTTCTGGTGTTGTTAGGCACTACTTTAGGTATTCTTTCTGCCATGTTTACCCCTGTAGCTAAAGTCTCACTGTGGAAATGTTTTTTGTTATATTTTTTCACTTATTAGATGATTCAGGATTTATTATGTTAAATCAGTTATTGATATTTTTTTTCTGTTGTTTTAGGTCATTGGAATACTGGATGTGTTCACACCAGATGTAACACTGGAGAAGTTTAATGACTTGTAAGTTCTGAGTTGTTTCTGTTTGTTGCTTGTGTGTGAGGAAAGGTTGTTGCTTTTTTAAATAGAGAATTTCAAAATTGTTGCTTCATGGATTTTTTTTTTCTGAATTTCATGTTAATATGACTCTTTTGAGCAACTTCAAAATTGGTAGGCTGGGGTTTTCATGTTGTCATTAGAACTAGTTTCCCGTCTTACAAGGAAACTTCCTTGTTTCAGCCCTTAGTAAACGGCAGTTTGGTGTATTTCCTAATCCACCTTTCAAGTGCTGATTTTTTTACCCTAAGACCCAGGTTGCTCAAATGATAGGACAATTCTTAACCCAAACAGGTAGGTTGAAAGCAATGCCTATTACATTACACATTTCAGTGGGATCCATCCTAATTCAAGGATTAACTAAGATCTGCTGATGCTGCTGAATTTTTTAGTAATTATCTGCACTATGCTCTGTTGTGCTCCCTGACTGTTTTCCCAGTCCAGTGGTCCAAACAGCAAGTGATACAGATTGCTTCTGTCACATCCCCCTGACCTTTTAGCGGCATCTCAGACATGGCAAGTCTGCCATGTTACTTGTGGATCCTGCTGCAACTCTTGTGAATTAGAGTCACTAGAGAAACAGTGCTCAGAAATCCTGTTAGGCTTAATGTAGATTTCCTGTAGACCTGTTCTGGATTTCATTTAATGGAGCTATGTTTCCAAAACAACCTTGCATATTTATATGTTAACAAAGAAAGCTATCTGACAGAAAAATGTAGAAAATTAAGTACAGAAAACATAGAGCATGTGTTCATATTGATCACTGAGCCAAAAGTTGTTGTCCATATTGCCTATTGTGATAGCATTTTATGTAGCATATGTAATAGAATGCACATTTATGTGATTAGCATTGAAGCGCTGTGTTTTAAATGAGGCCCTAAAACCATCTTCCAAATTTTGGAGCTGCAAGTCAAGTAGAAAAGACATTTTCATTACTGAAATGGCAACAAATGAGCCTATGGCAAAATTTGCTTTCAGGCCCATGGGCAAACTGTTAGAGTGAGGCAGAGGTAAATGTGTGTACATTTAAAACAAAAGGAAGAAACAGCTTTTGTGAGTAAAAGTCAAATAAGGCATTTGCGAGATACTCTCTTTTTGATGACTAGGCATGAGATGTTGCTTGTGACTTCTTCTATAAAGATCAAATTCAAGTGGGTTTGTGTGTAGAAGTAGCAGAAACAAGGTGTGTGCTTTCACCAGAGCCAGTCACTAAGGTTGATCCTGTCTGACACTTGAGGTTTCTCAGCTGACTTCTAGCTCTCCTGTCTAGAGGAGAGCATGTTCCTACTTAATCTGCCACTCTGCTCTCCTGCTCCATTTGAAATCCATTTTCTAAGGCACTTGGTTTGTTGACGGGAAACATTTTTGTGTGTTATTCTGGGACAGAGATACAAAATGTCGTTCCCCTCTCTGTATTTGCTCTGTCCTTATACAGTTATAGAACTAAATCGCTCATCCTTTGTATCCAAAGGTTAGTGAACTTGTCAGTGAATGCTGAAACTGGGAGACCGAGTCCTGATCCCGAAAGTCATGGGAAAAAAAATGCTTGGTACCTAGGACATGTTGGAAATGCTACCTATAAATCCTAGTGACTAAATCAGTGTCTTTATATTCAACCTCTATTTTTTTTTATAGTTGTATTTCTGATAGAACAAATGCACGTTTCATGCAGGTTTAATAGTAGAAATTAGAATTATTGTTTGCATATTTTAACCAGAAGAAACCCATTTAGATCTAAACAATAAAATCTGTAGCTATGAAGCAATGACCACATCTAATTCTTCCCTTCATGAAAATGCATCTGCTTGTCCTCATCAGAAGAGGAAAACTGATTACTGTATCCTCGTGCCAAATGCAATTGGCTCTGCCTGTGTTCAGAAACTATGAAGGATAAGTTTACTACATGCAATGTGAAGAACAGGTTTGGATCTTAGGTGAAGATTAGCTATGAAATGTCACTTGGCATTCTGGAGCTTTCTGTTTTTGGTGTCCCTTTCCATTATGAATTGCTGAAGATCCTAGTTTATGATCTTAGATGAAAACTAATGGCAGTTTTTGTTACCTCCTAATTTAATCAGCTTTATTTCTGTTACATCTGGCCTTGTCTGTTTGAATGAACCACCTTGGCACCTTGGTTACTGGGAGTTCAATGCTATGATCATGATTGTGAGAGACATGGTGTTGCATGAATGTCTTAGTTTTCTGTGTAGCTGTCTTTGAAATATCACAAGGCTCTTGGTTAGTTTCTTTCTAAGCTAGTTCAGAGTCTGCACTCTTCTGATAACTAGCAACTTTCTGTAACCTGCCCGCTCAGACAGAGTTGGGCAATACCTTTCCATGACAATCAGATAAAAATGGAGAAACTTGGAGAGCAGGGGGATGATAAAGGAACTGTTTGGTAAATGGAACAATCTATAATTTACTACTGCCATTGAACTATAACATACAATTACATTTCAATTTACATGACAAATTAATCAAGTTGATCTGTTTGGTTTTCTTTTCCTTTTTTTTTTTTTTTTGTTTTGTTTTGTTCTGTTTTGTTTTAAGCTACCTCGTCATGCCATTTATGGGAACAGACTTGAGTAAGATAATGAAGCATGAGAAACTAACTGAAGACCGAATCCAGTTCCTGGTATACCAGATGTTGAAAGGCTTAAAGGTTTGCTGCTTCTACTGTTATTTTGATTTTCACAGTCTTTTTTTCATAGCAAACCATTATGGAGAGCTATAAATATTTATCATTTGATAGCAGGATAAAATTTTTCTCACCTTATATAGTAAAAGAATATATAGAAAATATAATTTTTCAGCTAAACAGTCCTGGCTGTCTCAGTTTCTCCTCTTACATTAGATGCTTCAGTCACATAATTATCATCACGAAGCTTCATTGGATTTGTCTCTGTTTATCTGGAAAGACCAAAACTGAACACAGCACTCCAGGTGTCTCACTAGACCTGAAAAAAGGGGAGGGATCACCTCCCTCAAGTTGCTGGCAATCCTCTGCCTGATGCATGAGGTTTTTGGTTGTCTTTGCTGCAAGTATATGTTGCTCACATTCAACTTTTTACATCAGTACCTCCAGGTACTTTTCTGCCAAGCTGGTCAACCCCCAGCCTTGTTTGGCACCTGGGATTGTTCCTTCCCAGGTACAGGATTTTGCTGAACTTTGGTGGGTTCCTATCAGCCAATTTCTTCAGCCTGGGGAGGTCTTGCTAAACAGCAACACAATCATCTGGTGTGTGAACATTCTTCTTAGTTCTGCATCCTTTGCTGAGGGAACACTCTGTCTATCATCCACGTCAGTCATGAAGATGCTAAACAGGACTGATTTCAGTACTGTCCCTAAAGGGGCCAGGGCTGGTGATAGGCCTCTTGCCAATGATCACAATCCCTTGATCAAAACAGTTCAGTCACTGTCCATTAATTTAACCCATATTTCCCTGTTTCTTAGGGTGTTATGAGTTTCAAAAGCCTTGCTAGAGTCAAGGTAAAGAGCGCTGACTGCCCTCCCATCATCCACCAAGCCAGTTGTCTTATCATAGAAGATTAATGAGATAACGAGGTGTGATTTTCCCTCTTGTAAATCCATGCTGACTACTGTTGATCAGCTTTTTATCCTTCTAATCATTGGAAATGGTTTCCAGAATTACTTGCTTATTACATTCCCAGACAGTGAGGTGTGGCTGACTGATCCTCTTCTTCCTTGCCCTTTTGAAGACATGAGCAATATTTGCTTTCTCACCATCATAAGGAGCATCTCCTGATCACTATGATCTTTCAAATATTCTTAAGTGGCCTCACAATGACATTGTCCAACTTGTCTTAGAATTCATGACCGGATCCCATCAGGGTATTTAAATGTTAAACTTGTGTATGTTTAGATGTTCCCTCATCTTATCCTCCTCCACTGAGGGTATGTTTTCCCTGCTTCAGACTTTGCCAAATCACAGGTCCCTGCAACCACTGGAAAATATTAGTAGTAAAGATAGATGGAAAGGAGGCATTGACTACCTTAAGTTTTTTTTTCCGTACCCCTTGTGCAGTTGCCTGTGTTTTCACTGGTGTTCTTTTTGCTCCTAATTTGCATGTAGAAGCCCTTTATGTTGACCTTCGAGTCCCTTACCAGGTTCAGGACCAAGTGGACTTGACCTTTCCAAATTCCATCTCTGCACACTTGGACAGTGTCTCCACATTCCAACTGGATGACCTGATTCTGCTTCTACCTCATGTACACCTCTTTTTTATGTTTTCAGTTTCCCTGGGAATTCTTCATTCATCAAGCAGGCCTCCTGCCACCTTTGCTTGTTCTTGCCTTCTAGAATCTGGTTTTGGTGTCTGCTGACATTTTATACTCTGAAATTAGGAAAGTATTCATAAAAGGCTGTAAGGGACCATTCAGATTTGTCTAGTTTTGAACTGTGTAGGAACACTTCATCTTGTAGCTCTTCCAGTAAGTCTTGACTTAGCTGGAGCACGGTATCTTGGGAGGAATAATAATTTCAGTGTATCATTTTCTTACACTTGAAAAAAAAGGTATAACCAGACATAATCTCTAAGTAAGTTGTTGGGCTAGTTCGTGATTTTCTTTTTTTTTTTTCTTTTCCAGATAATAACCCTGACAGTAAGCTTGTTATTCCCCTACTCCTTCTCAGAAATAATGTTTATGTTCATCTCATACTTTTGTGGACTGCAGAGCTTACAGCTATAGCAAAATAACATAGTCTTGATTTTTACTGACTCTTACAAGAATGATTCTAAAAATATTAATTATCATATATTTTATGTTTTTCTTCCTCATGTTTTACTAAATACTGTTTATTAATGCTACTCCTTTTACATACACTAAGTAGTTATCCTTTTTTTTCTACAGTTGTGCATTAAAGTGCTCCAATTCCCATTTTACAAATGCAGGTTTTACAAAAGCCAGGTTTGAGGAAATTGATTTTATTTAAACTAGACGGAATTTACCTCCAATCTGGACTTTGAATGTGGAGTTATGATTTCACTTTTGTAATTAGTTCCCTAGTTACAAAGCCATGTCCTAGTAAGTGTTCTCTCAAGGACAGTACAAATGGAATGGTCTGTTTAGTTGTAGGTAACTATCTGGGAAGCAGGTTTCCAGGAGAGGCATGCTATTCACCAGAGATGAAAAACATCATTTGCAGTAACTTTACAGACAAGAAATATATGAACTGTAAATGATTAGCTTGAGTGTAGTGGAAAGGATGAATAATTAATTTAATTCCAGTGAAATGGCTTAGAAACATATTTTGGTCCTAGTGATGTACATTATCTGACAGAGGCTAACAGAGCAGAGCTTGTGGGCCCCAAAGGCTGACACTGAAGTCTGTTGGATCAGTAAATATGGAAGGGAAGTGGAGCAACTGTGCATGGTTGACATACATAGGAAGAAAACAGAGAAGGAATCTAAGAGAATGTATTTGGTTTGTGTGGTAGGGTTGGTTTGTTAGTGGAGTGAAAGCTGCAGGGGTGGCTTCTGAGAGAGGACAGCAGGAACTGCCTCCATATTGAACAGAGTCAGTTCCAAAGGGCTTGAAGACAGTCCTGCTGCTGCCTAAAGCTAAACCCATGAGGGCTGTTCACAGCACCTCTGTGGTAACGAATTTAAGGAGGGGTAAAGAAATGCTGTGCAATAGCTGTGGGAGGAGAGTGAGAAAATGAGAAATGGCCCTTTAGGTGCCAAGTTCAGTAAGGAAAGGGGAGAGAAAATGCTCCAGGGGCTAGAGCAGAGATTCCCCAGTCAATGAAGAAGACTTGTGGCACAGTTTGCTCCCCTGCAACCCATGGACAACCATGACAGAGTGGATATCCACACAGCAGCCTACGAAGGATCCTTCTGGGACACAGGGATGTGCCCTAGATGAAGTTGTAGCCCACAGAAAGCATGTGCTGGAGCAGGTTCCTGGCAGGTTTTTTGGCAAGACCTGTGGCCCACAGGGGACCCATGCTGGAGCAGTTCATGAAGAACTGTCTCCTGTGAGAGGAGCCCCACACTAGAGCAGGGAAAGACTGAGAAGGGAAGAACATCAGAGACAACACATAATGAACTGACCACAGTCCCCATTCCCTGTCCCTCTGTTCCACTTGGGGGTAAGAGGGAGAGAAATCAGGAGTGAACTTGAGTCTGGGAGGAAGGAAGTGGTGGGGGGAATGTATTTTAGTTTTGTTGTTGTTTCAAACTATTCTATTCTGTTATTAATAGGCAATAAGTTTAATTCACTTTTCCCAAGCCGAGTTTGTTTTGCCCATGGTTGTAACTGGTGAGTGGTTTCCCTATCCTTGTCTCAATCCATGAGTTTTTCCACTGTATTTTCTACCCCATATTCTGCTGAGAGTGGGCAATGAAAGAGCAGCTCAGTGGGCACCTGGTGATCAGCCAAGGTCCATCCAGCACAGAGGAGAAGAGCAGGAAGTTCTTGATGTTCCCTGCTATTCCCTAGATTTAATAAAAATAAAGGCAGTGCTCATTACAATTATGTGGCAACCAGCAGGGATGCTGAGATAATCTTACAAAATATGTATCTCTGATCTCTGTAACTGTGTTACATCTTCTATAGGAAGTGGTTTACTTGAATATTTTGTCTCTTCCCACATATTTTTTGAGAGCACAAGTGTACTTACCTCAAAATTGCCCGCAGGAGATAAGACATTATTCAGCTACTAGACTCTGTTTTGTCATTTCTTACTGCACACTAAACACTGGAGAACAGTCTTTACTTTATCTGTTCCATTAACTTCTGGATTTTTCATGAACCAATTAATCCAGCCAGAAATATACACCTATCTGGAAATATTTTTAAGAAATATGAGTGGTCCACTGCTTGAGGAACATTCTTGTATCCCTGTCTGTGCTAGGAATTGTGTTAAGCTGAAAGCAGTGTTGCTGGCATGCAGAGAAAAAAGAGAATAAGTCAGTAATTCATTTATTCTTTTACAAGTATCTGTAAATTAGCTGTTTTACAAAGAGTTTGTTAAGTTTTGAATGAAAAATCTTGTACTTTTTAAGGTCTACTGTATCTGAATTAAAAACAACCCATCTTTGTTTACTTAGGTTGTTTTTTTGGCAGGGCAGGGGGAACAAACATACACTTAGCTAGAGCTTAGTTGAGGCATTGTAAGGGAAAAATGCTTGCAACACCTGAGAAGGAGAATGCTACCCTGTATATCTTTGTGATAAAACTCTTTCAGCCTCCCAAGCTTAGCCTTGCATTTGTAAAATGCCCTTTTTCCCCAAGCTTTTAACTTAGATGGACTCTATTCTGATCGGGGTTTTTGTGTGAATGATGTAACCTGCAATATGCATTTGTCCTTTGTGTAAAATATATGAGAAATTTATGGTATCTCTATTTATGTCTTGTCGAGGCAAGAAGGCAGTTCATTTTTGTCACATTGCATATCTTACTGTAACAACCTGTTTACATGTGGCAGTTAAATGCATGTAGAGAAAACTTCGCATGACTGATGTGTTGTAAAGGCATAAGAGAGGTTTTTGCTAAGCCCACGAGTTGGTTCCTCACAGGCTTTGTTTCCACATTATACCTGTAGACTGGTTCTGGATTGGTTGTATATCAAATGCTCAACAGGCTTGATTTAAAAAATATGTATAAATTGAGGTCAATAGAAAGGTCATACTGAGTTCAGGAAGATTTGTATCAAGCCCTCAGCCTTTGTTCTGCAAGTCTAAGAGGTCTTTGTTTATCAGTTCTTACCATTTTACTGTCTTCTTTCTACAGGGAATGAAATATTCATTTCCTTTCTTCAGTGAGCTTTGTAATTTATCACAATTTACCACTTAGAAACAGTGACATGCCTCTCCTTTGTCTGTTTACTAGTCAGGTCCTATGCTGGCATTAAATTTTATATAAGTATGAGCTTGCAACTTGGAAGGGCTTTAATATTTTTTTGTTGTTGTTTCTTTGACAGAAAAGCTGTGTATTGTCAAAGATTACAGAAGGCAAGATAAACATATGTGTCTGTATGTAGGTGGAAAGCAGCTGGAGGTTCCAGCACTTTCAGTCTTGGGTCCCTCTTCTGCAGGAATGCCAGCTGGGTTCCCATCTATAGAGGTCTGGGGAGGTGGCTGTCAGTTCTCTTGCTTTATTCATACAATGTTTGAGAAGGAACAGAAAACTCTTGGGCCATACAAATACCTGTTTGAGCTTCTTTTGCCATACTTAATAATAAGATTTACCTGCTCCAGTTCTTTTCTTTTCTCATCCATATTTACTGCCTTTTCTTCACATTTATGCTGGGGTTTTTTTCTGCTTCTCTCTTTTCCCTTCACACTCTCTGCCATTTCCTCTTCTATTTTTATTTCCCTGCCGAGTTGCTCTTCATTTTCATTTTGCATGTTGCCTAGAACACTTTCTCCAGAGTCTTTCCTAATTCCCTTTTGATTAGCTTTTTATTTTGTGTAGAGATTACATACACAGACAAGAATGCTTAAAATTTAGATGACTGTTGGATGGCTTCCTAGCACAATCTGAAACTTGCATGCCAGGATTTATGCATACTACCAAAAATTGTCTTAAGGTAACGCACAGTGCTCCAAGGAACTTCCCTTACGTTAACTGGGTTCTTGAACCAAATATTTCATGTGAATTGGTAATAACATTGTGAAGTGTATGTCTGCTCTGGTCTGGATCTTTTTGCCATTTTAAGAATGAAAAAGCTGTCGATAAATGGCTAATTTATTGAGAAGAATCAGTAAGAGCAGGATCCCGTTTCAGAAGGTTATTGAACAGAAATGGAAAATTTTCTGAATGAAGTCTGGCATAGTTCCAGTGCTGCTACCTGCCAGGAGATAATAAAATGCAGTTTAAAAAATTCTGCTGTTGTTAAAGAAATACTGCAACACAGCAGGAGTATTTCAGCTTATAGAAAGGCTGATGTGTACATTAGCATCAATAATAAATGCTGTTTCATGTAATCTCAGTAATGTTGTATTAAGAGGAGTGTTTAGAAAATAAAGGAACCCTCCCCAAAGTGTTAACATTATTTTGGTGCTGTGAACACACATAAAACCTTCAGTGCAGTAAGAATGCCGGCAAAACCACACTCTTCCCCCCAGAGAGGTGAGATGTACTTTAAAACTCTGAAGGGTGCAGACCCTTTAATTCCTGATTCTACGTGCTACATTCTTAGGTGCAGAATAACCAACTATTTCCTACTATGTACAGTTTTATCAGAGAAAACAGCCTGTATAATATTTTAAGCATCTGCGCTGAAAAATAAAGAGGCTTCAGTTAGACGAAATTGGAATAATTTAAAATGCAAGTAGACATTGTGCAGAATTGACTTTGTAGCTTTGCTTTCTTTTCCCTGGTCCCCTCATCAGCTGGATTACAAGGACCCCTTTGCAGAGGGACTGTTACATTCATGAGGTTAATTGCCTATCCTGAGGGCTGCTGGGAAGGAAGATGGTCATTGCAAGGGCTGTGGCTGCTTTGCAGTTACCCTGCAAAGTTCCTTCCTTCTGTGAATTTCCGTGATGCCATGCTGACTGTCTCTGGTTGGTCTTTCCTGGCTCTGAGAGTTGGTTCCCAGTAATGCTTTTACCAGTTATTGTCCCATTCTTCAGGGCAGAATAAAATGAAAATTCTCCAGGTGCATCTTATCCATCTCTTCTGGATTCTTTTTATTTAAAAGCTTTTATTGTTCTTTTGTTGCTTAGTGTCAGTAGTATGAGCTGTCAGCAGCAGTATGATCTATGGGGTTTTCAGAGTAGTTCCCCACACCTTAAGTGAGCAGTAACAGCACCTCCCAGGCCAGTCTTGGAAAGCATGTCCTCAGTTCAGGACAACTTGCTGCATTTCTGTCCTTGCAAGAGATGCCTATGTCTGAACTAGTTACTAGAGCCTCCCTTTATTATCCATGATGAAAATAGTCTCTTCTAGGACATCATTCAGCTGGTGAGAGGAACTGCATACCTCAGTGGGGAGCATTTGGTGACAGTCATGGGTTCAAACATGTGCATTCGATCAAGTGTCCTCCCAGAAGAACTAGCCATGGGAGCCATTAAATAGATCACTGAAAGGATGATGAAAATATTCAAGTAAAGGAGAATGTCTTGTAACTTGACCTTTCCATGTTTCATTGAGGAAATTTTGAAGCATCGAGTGAGAATTCTCAGATAAGGCCTTGACTGGCCTTATTCCCAGGCTTAATGATCTCTTAAAAGTCAGTGCTGCTGAAGCATATGAATCTACAACTACAATGGCACAGCAGAGACATCTATTGCAAGAGAACATTTCTGATATATAAAATAGCAGGTTTTATTCTGATACATATATATATATATATATATAAATGCCAAAAATTAACTGAAACCGGTATTTTGTGTATGGAAAGACTTAGAAGAAATTGTATGATCTGTTGCAGTACTCAAACTGATTTAGTGATTTCTCATTATTGAGGGAGGGAAAGGGCAAAATACTAGTTTAATTATGCAAACATTAAAACCATAGCTAAAAAGATCTGGGCAATAAGCAAACATTTTATAATTTCCATTTACTTTAACACCATGAAAAAGTACTTTCTGCCCTACCCTAGGCAACTTCTTAAAGTTGGGACTTCATGAATAAATAATACTTTCTCTTTTTACAGTATATTCACTCATCAGGCATAATTCACAGGGTAAGTGGGAACAACGTTACAGATGTTTATATTTTGATAATGTGAGTGATGTTTGTGTGTAAGCTTTTGGTTTCTTCTTCAATAAGAACAAAAGGTGGCATGGCTACATCAGTGTAAGTTGGGAATTCAAGTTGCACTGAATACAGCTTAAATTTGGATTTCTTAAATTACTTTGTGAAGTTGAGTTGTAAGTCCCTGCAAGTGCCTAAATTGGGATGGATAAGAGCTTTTTCTCTTTGTTTGTTTGTTTGTTTTTAATGAAGAGTAAACTTTTAAAAGCAATATTTAGATTTTATTTAAACATCATGTTAGTGTTCAAAGTTGGGGGGGAACCATAGAAATTGAAAAAATTGTCCAAACTTTTCCAAACTTTTAAAGCCTTGAGAACCTCAACTTTTTATTGCAAGAAATTAAGCATTTTATTACTTTTGAATTTTTTTTGTGTCTAAGTCCACTTAAAATCACTTTGTGCTGTGAAGGAGTTCAGAATGATGCTCAAGTGGTACCAAGCAGCATATTTCCCCCCAAAACTGCATCAGAATAGTAGAAATTGTCCATTTGTAATGAAGTATCAAGAGCACCATAGGAAGTGCACATTGTAAAGCAGCTTTAAGCTGGACATGGAAACTATGCAAACCGATAAAATGATGGAATATAATTTTATTTTTGGAACCGCTGTGATCATGGTCTAAATTTACCGTTGCTTAGTCTTTTTCTAAGCTCCCACTTGATTTCCCTTGAACTTCTTGGTTTCATTAAAGGTTCTTTGCATCAAATTGTTTCTCTCCAAGGCCCCTCTGATCTTGAAACAGCTTTTTATAAAACAGGTGATTGCCTGCTAAAAATTTAGAGACAAGATACTTTTAAACATCTTGTGCTAAAGTGTATCAAACAAAGCTTTGAGAAAGCTGAAGGAAAATTTGTTTGTAAGTGCACATGTCTGAGTCACTGCTGTTGCAATATAGTCTTAGTCATTGCCGGTATCCTTCCCTTTTGCTAAACTGTACATCTTTTGAAGATCATTAGAAGTCCCCACGGTAGCTAAAGAGACTTAAGTGAATACTTTTTAATGTCGCAGTTCAATGGTCTTTGTTAGGAAATTGGTTTTCCTGCAGAAGAAAGCATAGGCTTTTATGTAAAACCTTGTTTGATTCCTTCAGTACTCCTTCTAAGTCTATCAGGGTATGCAACCTTTATAAAGTATATGTTGAAATGCAGTATGTACAGTCCAGAAATATATATGTGAATTGTTAACTTGTGGTGTTAGTATTAAATGCAGCAAATTTATGGCCAAACCACACTCATAGAAAGAAAGGTGAGTGACTTCCTTCACTGGCACGTATTTTCCTGACTTGTAGCAGAAAAAAATATTTGATTTTTTCGGGGGGGGGGGGGAATGGGAGGGAAATATACTGGGAAAAAGCCAAACATGTGCAAGTTTGTGTCCTTGTTTGTATGATTTGTTATGACATTGTTTTACCTGTTGCTGTTCAAAATAGTTACATGAAAACTATAAAACCAGAAAGAAAAAAAAGACAGAAAGAAAGCAGGAAAGAGTGCTTTATTGTGCTTGGTGTAAAATAATAAAAAAAAAAAAACATCCATTTTAAATTTGGTTACAGGATCTAAAGCCTGGAAACTTGGCAGTAAATGAAGACTGTGAATTGAAGGTAAGGTATGTTTATTTGAAAAAGCAGCCAGATGTATTAGAAGACAAGACAATGGGTGCAACAGCTGTAGACATGCTGGCTGTTTTCAGTGACGGGCCAAGTTTTTAGCCCATAGGCTTTGAGAAGTCATGGAGAAACAGGGGAAAATGGGAAAAGGAAATAGAAGAGGATTAGATGGGCAATGGTAACTAACTTGAAAAAAATTACAAGAGATTGCTCCCTACAAGTAATTTCCCATCTGTCTGACTTCAGTCATCACAATAATAATTAAATATTTGTTGAAGAAATAAAACACTGAATAGTAAATATTTATCCCCCATTTGAATGTCCTTGACTGACTCAAATGTGCAATTCATAAGAACAGCAGAGGTAATGATCAATTTCTGAGATCATTCTGGAATCAAGCCCAAGAAATGGCTGTGCCTGAAGCTAGAGGCTTTGCCCAGGATGTCTCAGCTGAAAACATTTAGTTCAGATAGGATGCTCCAGGAAGCTTGTACCCAGTGTTAGCAGAGGAGAGATGGGGTCATCTCCAGGATATAGAGGATTTCTTATAAGGGAATCAGTGCCACAGGTTATTACATTCACAGCATCATTAGACTGGTTGCTGACTTGAGTCTCTCCAGCGGGATGACAGGCAGTGTAAGAACTGAAACTGCTCCTGTGGGTTTGGTGTTGACAGCAGGCCATGCCACAGTTGTTTGCCCACACCAAGGGAAGGAGCATGTCAGTAATCATAGAATCATGATTAATCAGAATTAACTGGGTTGGAAGAGACCTCTGAGATCATCAAGTCCAACCCTTGATCCAACCCCACTGTGATTACTAGATCATGGCACTCAGTGCCACATCCAGCCTCATCTTGAAAACCTCCAGGGACGGTGAATCCACCACCTCTCTGGGCAGGCCATTCCAATGCCTGATCACTCTCTCTGTAAAGAACTTCTTTCTAATATCCAACCTAAACCTCCCCTGGCAGAGCTTAAGCCCGTGCCCTCTTGTCCTACTGCTGATTGCCTGGGAGAAGAAACTGACCCTCACTTGGCTACAACCTCCTTTCAGGTAGTTGTAGAGAGTGATGAGGTCACCCCTGAGCCTCCTCTTCTCCAGACTAAACAACCCCAGCTCCCTCAGCCTCTCCTCATGGGACTTGTGCTCCAGTCCCTTCACCAGCCTCGTTGCTTAATACCCTTTTCCTGTATGATGTGTATGTTGCAATGCATACTGGTATACTTTTTATGCAGTCACTCAACTAAAGTACTTTTCAAGAAAAAATCATGTGATGGTTGCAGTCAGATAAGAACTGTAATGGAGAACTGTGTTTATGATGTGTTGCAGCTAATCACTTCAGGCAAGCATGGAAGGAATCACATACTGCTCACTGTGAACAAGAGTATCTTACATCTTTGAAAGTGTTTTCTTTGCATTTTTACAGCTATCAGCAGTATCAATTGCATGTAGACTTCAGTGTATTTTGTAGCAGGAATATATAATTCCTGCTTCATTTTTGCTCTTAACTGAAGTAGTAAGAAAAAGGAATTCATTAAAGGGAGACAATTCTGAATTCAGTCTCCTATAGTTCAGCTATTAGCTGTTTCTGCTGCTACAGTGCTGTGATGGTTTGGACTTGGCTCCCTGCCAAATGCCCAACCCCCCAGTAGCAGCCCCTCTCTTCCCCCTTCCTACTTCCCCCAGGGCAAAGGAAAAAAAAAACATATAAATTGAAGAACTCGAAAATCAAGCTAGTTATATAAAAAAATTATATATTTTACGTACATTACAGTTAAGATGCTATGTACACAGCAAACGGGAATCCAAACACCCCCCGAAGGGATAGGGAAAGGGGAAAAGGAATAAAAGGGAACAAAAAAAAGGACACCGAGCAGATATACGCAATCAAACCCGAGAATTAGTAAAATAACTAGTAAAACAAATCTCACCACGTCCCTTAGAAAAAACAGGATTGACACACACACGGCCAGCATTCCCCCAGCCTCCACGTGGCAGGTCAGTGGATGCTGCAGGCCTCAGCCTACCCAGAGAGGTGGTGGATTCACCATCCCTGGAGGTTTTTAAGCAGAGATTCCACCCTCCCTGCCATGTTACTGGGAAAACAATGTGTGCTGAATATGTAGAATAAATTGAAAAGTCACATATAAAAGCATATTTTGGCAGTGCAAATATTTTGTGTCCAGTAAATCTTCAGCATCTAAAGAATCAGCCATAATCAAATGTAAGGTAAAAATGTCTCCCTTTGCATCCTATTCCTGTTTTTTAACTGGTTGGTAATCAGCAGCTGTGGGGAAAATATGGAAATGGTATTTCAAGTATGGCAATAAAGATAAGCCATAACATTTTGTACTTTTGATCTGTGAATGAAAATGTATTTTTCCTTTCTGTTAGTGCCTGGGAATGATAAAATTACCTTGAAATATTTTAAAATGTTTGTCAGGGAATGATGAAACTACCCTGAAATATTTTAGAATATTTAATTGTAGAGAGCATTACAAAAACATCACTCTTGGTATAGTAATACTCAGGTGGTCCTAGTAAAAAATTTTGTCCTGTCAGTATACATGTGAGGCCTGATACATATGGCAACTAATGGCTGTTCATGCAAAGCTGCATATTCAGGGTGACAGTGATTTATCTTGAACAGACTTTACTTACTCAAGACCCAAGTTTCTCGTTAGAAGCATGAAATTTCTGATAAATACAAACTGATTGTCCTTCACAGAGTGGAATTCTCTTGCTATTGGCTGCATCTTTTGGCACCATCTTTTGATGGTCCATGCAGGTGGGCTTTCTTAAGGCAAACTTTGTAACAGCTGACAAAAGGCCATAACATTCACTTTTAATCTTGCTGCTGTACACATTGCTGTACCTAGAGATAAATATCTGAGAATCTTAGAAATAAGCTGAATTGCGCATAACCCTATAAAAAATTGCACTGATCTTGCATTTCTTACAAAAGTGTCTCTGTAGTTGATACTGGAGGATGGGAAAACTTGGTGGGACTAAATGATGATAACTCGCTACTCTTGTTGCAGATTTTTAGTGTGACCCAGAGGAAGTCTTCCCTTGTATGATTTACTGCTAGAATAGAAATAACAGTTACTCCTTACTTCAGAATACTATTGGAACACACTCTTGAGTAATTGTGCCACCTGGGATATGAGAGCAATGGACACCTTAGGTAGACGCTGTTCTTTTAGCTGTAACATGATACGATGGTGATTCTGTGGTCAGGGAATGTTTTGCATTGAATATGTCCATTATCTTTTTAATTAATAAGTTAGTAATTTATTATTTTCTTTACTGGCTTTACAGCTTTTGGTGTTGTTATAGGAGTATGTAACTTATAAAATAATTGTGCAAAGCTCCTTTCTACCTCTGTCTTGATTTTTTAAATCAATCTCTCCAGATTACTCCACTTTGGGTTTTGTTTTTTTCTTTTATTTTCTACATTTGTAACATCTGTCTGAACTAGATAACTAGCTGTCTGATCAGGATATTCTTTGTGCTTCCACTACAGATCCTGGATTTCGGATTAGCAAGGCATACAGACAGTGAGATGACTGGTTATGTGGTTACAAGGTGGTACAGAGCCCCAGAGGTCATCCTTAACTGGATGCATTATACTCAAACAGGTCAGCATCTTCAGAAGTGTCTTAACAGAGCTAAAGCATTCACTGAATCAGGCAATATATAAACAACCACTTGTTTCCGAAATGAGTGAGAAAATGGAGGTGAAAATGACAATATAATAATGCAAAATTTCCTTGTAGATAAATTTCAGGTAATCGTGTGGTGGTTGTGAGTTTGGGGGTTTTTATATGTATTTTCTGAGAGTAAGAGAAAGTGCCAAGGTCACTGGAAAAAAACCTATTTAAATGTATACAGGTGTAACAGTTTGGTCGCTGTTCTTATGTTCCTGCAAAGATGTGCCAATTGCCACTCAAAGTAGCATATGAAGGGAATTCAGATAACACTGGGATAACTGTGAAAGTTTTTGAAAGCACTGAAAATTTACTTCCCATGTGCATCTGCTTGTTACTGAGAAACTCACTCCACATATTCTGAGATTATCTCCAGTTTGCTCATTAGAAAGTCTGATAGTTCTACCTTTGCTGTTCATCATACTTGGCAAGGCACACATTTATTATATAACAGGCTGTAAAGATAATTTTTATACTTCTTTAAAATATGTTTTAAATTAAACTTTATGGGCATTTAAACGAACAAGCAATCTGCAGTTTAATATACCTCTTGGTCTTTTTTTCAGTTGACATCTGGTCTGTGGGCTGTATAATGGCTGAGATGATAACAGGGAGGCCTCTGTTCAAAGGAAATGATCGTATCCTTCATTGAATTTATGACACTAATGTAAGAAAATTATGAGAGGTTCTTCTGTGACACAGTAAGTCTGTTCAAAAATTGATAAGTATAAATTGAAATGAATAGTAAAATGGCTTGCACCTTTCTCATTAAGTGGTTATTACATATCTGTGCCACTTTCGCACATCTGCCAATTAAAATTTGTATTAGTGGGGTTTTCAATAGAGGTGATCTTTGAATCACATCTCAAATCATCAGGTAAAAGGTTCTGTGGTACTAGAAAGGCAATATTTATTTTTTTAGTGACAGATTCCAGAACATGCACAGAAGACTCTTCTGTAGGTATATGATTTATGTGCACAAGCTACTCCTTTTCATGCTATTTGAGGCTTTCATTAAAAAATGTTATGTAAGTAACATCTAGTAAAATGTAGATTTACAGAAAACATTTAGTTCTATCATTTCACTGCTGAGCAATTCAGAAAATCGTTAAGATTAAGCCATAATTCATCTTCAAGTGATACTTCATTGACAGTAGTAGTTACAATACTTAATAAGGGACAGTGTTACTAGAAGACATCAATGATTTTTTACCTTTTTTTTGTTTACAGCTCAGCCTTATCATACTGTGCTACTTTCTCCCTTGTGGAATTGCAGTCAATAAATCACTTACCTGCAAATACTTGTTTACAGAATTGTAATTGCTTAATTTTAGTTATATTTGTATTTAAGTACTTACATGTAATATCTTAATTTTAGTTATATTTGTATTTAAGTACTTACATGTAATATCAGGACTTCATTGAATGGATCATATTATTCTCATTTTGTGAAGAAAAACTTTCAAGAGAAAGATTGTGTTCACAAAAAAAATGGCAGGAACTACGGAAAAGTAGAATACATCAGACTTTTTTAGGCTGTACAGGTTTTAAGTATGCATTAGTTCTTAACAAGAAAATACTAAAATGCCTGTTGGCTAACACAGCATTTCTCAACTAATGATAACCTTGAGCATTCTGGTATTTAAATAAGAAAACAAATGAGTCAGGATTTTCATGGTGCACCATAAGCCTTAAAAGTGGAAGAGCTAGTATTTTAGTCATACTGGGTTCTGGAGATTTTAGAACTGTTGGCCAAAGTTCTGTGTTCTATGTTACAAAGGAAATGATCCCAGTATAATAGTCATTGCTGGCCTTTGAGTATATGATTCGGTATTACCTATTCTCAGGGAAATGCAGCCATGGGTTCAGCTGTGGGTAGGTGAATAAGAATACAGCTAACTTAGGGGATTTTTGTTTTAGAATTATGAATAGGTTATTCTGCCAACTTGGTATAGGTTTTATTTATTTATTTAATTTTGTTAGTATTATCCACCACTGACTTTTTCTATATGTGCTCTGAGCTCTGATCTAGCTTCTAGCTTCTTATCTGCTGCTCTTACCAGAGCAGCAAGCAAACCATATAGCTCTTCTCTGCAGCATTACCCTCCTGTAAATATGCTGTTTCTTCTCTTAAACAGCTAAAGGCATTGCTGATGAATCTCTGTTGGGTTAGGACGCTGAAGGTTAGGGAGTGTTCTGATACCTCACCCCAATGTCTCCAACATCTCAGCATCAAGTTAAGCATGTGGGAAATAAGGAGGAAAAGGATTAATTTTTCTTCTCTTGATGTTTCTCAGTATGGAGAAGAACTAATACAGACTGCTTTCCTCTGATTTTTTTTAGTTATCATACCACCTTATATTCCCTGTGATTTTTCCTGCCTCTATGTCACCTAAGTATTGGATAGACCAGAGCAGTGTGTGCAATATGTATGTTGATTGTTCAGATACTCCATTTACTTTTGGACTGATTTCTGTCCAAAAATATAGAAGAGACCTGATATTATTACAAAATTTTGAAGATTATTCAATTATATGTTCCCAGATTATAGTATTATAGTATTGATTTCAGGTGCTTTTAGTGTCTTTGCCTTTTGCAAGAAAAATGGAGGACTTTCATTTTTATAAATTTCTGTTTAGTCAGTGAATTGAGACTTTTTAACTTCATTCTCCAACAGCAAAGAAAAGCATTATTTTTGCAGGGTGAAAGAGTTTTTTCCTTATTGGTGATATTCAGATCTGGACCAACTCACAGAAATAATGAAAATAACAGGTACACCAACTCAAGATTTTGTTCAAAAATTGCACAGTCAAGATGTGAGTATTCTGTTTTGTCAGTTGGTTTTACTTGTCTTAATTTTACTTAAGCCATGCTCAGTTCTTAAACTGGCGGGGATAATATATATTGACTACTGAAATACCCCTGATGGTAACGCTCTGCCTTGAAATGTTCTGCACACCCACAATAGCTACTGGAGATGGGGGGCAACACAACAGAAAATTATCAGAACAGTTGAAAAATCTGCATATTTAAATACTTCAAAATTCCAGTGTGTACCATATAAACAGTTGAGCTGATAACTTACTACTTTTATTGGAGAGGTACTGAAAGCATAAAGATATTCAGAAAACCTAGTTATTTGCCAATATCTCTGTTTCCTGTTCTTATATGGGTGTCCTTCTAGAATCCTCAAACCCTTACTACAAAGAATCTATAATTATTCTTAGACTAACTGTACAATTTAAATACTAATGAATTACTGTATAAGGTTCACTTCTAGAGATTCCTGTAAACTCACTATGATATTCTTTAAAATTATTCATACATATTTATTCTATTAATATATTAAATATGGAGCACTAATAATCAAAGCTTTACATTATAATTTCTAATGGTTTTAAGGTTTGATTATTTTTTGAAGTTCTGTTCCGTGAGTAGGTGAATATCATTAGGATTTATGACACAGAAAAAATGCATTCGTAGTGTGCTATCACAGCATTGTTGAGTTACCTATCAAGCATATAGTTAATGTTGTCACATTACAAAGGTGGTAATGGTCTAATTTAATATTCATGTTTCTTTTGAGGCAAAAAACTATATCAAAAGCCTCCCAAAAGTCCAGAAGAAAGATTTTGCATCCATCTTGAAGTATGCGAATCCTTTGGGTAAGGTAGTTTGCGTGGATGTGTACAATTTGGTCTTTGTTTGCATTGGAGGCAGCAGTAGTATCAGTCATGTGATAAGTGATGGGATGGTTCTTGTACTATTCTATCTCTTGCTTTCCATAAATCATAGTTTTGACTGTAGTGGTTGAACTTTGTGAAGTTTAAACCTCTCCAGGAATCAGTTTCTTAGAAGCACCAAAAAAAAGTATCTTGTATTTCAGGTTTTGATCCAGCACCTGCTTACAGGTTTTGCTTGAGCAGCTTTCCAAGAGCCCTGGTAGATTAAATACATGTAATAAAATTTTCTCTGTATTATGTTTTCCCTGCATTGTTTCTGAAATACAATTCTGAAAGCTCAATTGGATCCACAGTTGAATTGCAAGAAAATAGAAAGCTGACATTTTAGTAATGGAATTAATACATCCTAAGAAACATCTGTGCATTCCTGAGAAGCACTGGCTTGGACTCGATATGTATAAACAGCCAGAAGAGCATACCAAGTGTGCATAACTGTGACATGGCCCAAGGCAGCCAGAGCTCTGAGATGACTCTACCAAAATCTTATCAATTCTTCAGTGACCTTAACACTCACAAAGCCAGTTTTATTAGAATATGAACTAGGATAATTGAATCTTTACAATTTAAGAAGTTAAAATTTTAGTTTCAGATGCTGTAGAGATAAACTTGATTAATAAACAGCTCTTACCCTGACTGCATGGTTAGCTCACTGACATTCCCATCTACAGCAAACCACATTTCTCACTTCTGTGGCCATCTGGCTGCTTCTGATCTGGAAGAGAAGGCTGGAGAGAATACACAACGTGGCATGGCAAGCAGGAGTTGAAGCATCCTGTCCCACACTGCTGTCTCTGCTTCCTTTCAGTTACTCCACCCAACCCATGTACATCCTGTCAGGACAGAAAAACAGAAAATAAATCATTCATCATACCTGTTTACACTAGCCCTGTTTACATTTTGAGAGTGTAACAATGGACCTGATCCAAAATCCCCCAGAGGGAAACACACAAGATTTTAATGGATTATTTTGGTTGAGATCAAAACTGCATAGCAGATAAGGTCAGCTCTGAAATTCTGAGCATGGACAACTGGCTTGTCTCAGTGAACTTCAAAGTGTTCTTGGGCTTGGATTTGGTCGCATATGGGGCAGTTCTCATTAGCTGTTCACCTGTTCATTCTGCTGTTGCCAGGTGGTGATGTACCTTAGAACCACAACATGGTGGCAGTGATGAAAGACACTGGGAAAGCCCCAACCACAGTGGTCGTGGAGCCAGAAGCTGAGGTGTTATATGTATTGCATACAGAAGCAAGGGAGCACCTCTGCATTGTATCAGGCTTTGGACATATCCCAGCTTACTCAAAGAACTATTTGTCATGCAGATGGGCCCCACTGGCTATAGAATGGACTCCTCCACTTTATAACTCCATGTATTTATTTGAAATACCTCCAGGGCAATGTTACTGTGTACAAGTGGAATCAGTTGCATGATTTGAATACACTGTTTGTTTTCTGTGCAACAGCTGTAAACCTTTTGGAGAAGATGCTGGTGCTGGATGCAGAGAAGCGAGTCACAGCAGCTGAGGCTTTGATGCATCCTTACTTTGAACCAATCCATGATCCTGAGGAAGAAATTGAAGCTGAGAAATATGATGACACATTTGATAACATGGATCTTCCGCTAGATGAGTGGAAGCGTGAGTTTAGTTTTGTGATGTTTTCAAAAATAACCAGATCGAAAGGATATACAGAAATAGGAATGTTCCCCTTTACAAATCACCTCTTCTGCTTTCGATTGAACAGTAAATAGACAGCATTAAGGTAGAGAAATGTTACTTACTGAGTTCTGATAAGTACCAAGTCCTCCTGGAATGCTCTTCAAGGTTTCTTCTCTGCCTCCTAACATAGGCTCTCCTCCTTCTCCCGCTTCTTCATATGTCTGTCCTCCCATCTTCTGCAACATAGAAAAGAAACCATTTCCGAAACATGCCTGCCAGTGGATAGGACAGGCAAACAGATCCTTTGACTGTTGGCTCTGTTGGACTGCAATGCTTGCTGGCCTCAAAGTTAGATTCTCTCAGGCAGAGAAAACATATCTATGTCAGTAGAGACTTAAATCTGAATCTTTTCATCTAATGCCTGATGTCTGTATTTCAGCTTTTAAGTGAGGACCTGACTTTTAAAGCTGATGTGCTCCACAGCTCTTCCTGATGATATTGCCCACTATCCTCTAAAGTCAATGCTTGCGTCCCTTTGAAAGCCACCTATACCATTTTACTATTGGGCTTCTTCTTCAAATCTGAAATGGTGGGAAAATGATCCTTGATTCACTTTTTGTACTCTTTCTCTCTTTTTGCCTGAAGAGGTCTCTCTCTTCCTGAGCTAGATCAGAGCCTAGTCGTGCTGGGAGTTGCACCTTGCTCATTCATGTCTGTGCACTCCTTTTCTGATTAGACCAGCAACACTGTTGTCTGTTCTTTTGTTTTCCAGGCATTACATATAAAGAGATACTGAACTTCAAGCCATCACAGACATCAGACTCAAAGGAGACAGCAGTGTAATTGTATGACTTAATCTTTTCAGAACTTTGAAGAAAGCAGAAGAGTTGTAAATGTTTCTGACATTTCAGGTGTATAAAACTTTATAAATAAACTGTATGTAATCTGTTTCATCTGCACTCTAAGAAAGAGCTATGTTTTTTACTCTGCATGTGGAAGCTGGTGCCTTTGGGAGTAGCATTTCAAAAATATCCAGAAACTACGACTTCTTCCTTCTGGACAAAAGGATTCAGACTGCGATAAGCCCAATGCCATCCTCAAGAGAGCAGTTAGGACTAATTCTTCAACTCAGAGATCACAAGAGCACAAGTTACCCCCCTAAGCAAACTAAGACACAGAGTGTGTCAGAGATGTGCTGTGACTGCTCTCCAAGGCCACTGAACCATCCTGAATGCAAGAACTATTCATGTGATTTATTCTGGAATATTTCACTCTGTTAAGAAGCCCTGGAATGCTAATCATCTTCTGCTACCTCAGCTACTGCAGTGGGTAGCAGAGACACAGCTCAAATGAATGCCTGTTTCCCCTGTCCTATGTGAGTGGAAGAGAACCTGAGCTCCAGACAGTTCTGACAGATCTGGGCAAGAGGCAAAAAAGCAGGGAAGTGTCAATGTGGATGTGGTCTATCTGGACTTCAGCAAAGCCTTTGACACCATCTCCCACAGAATACTGGAAAAGCTGGCAGCCCATGGCTTGGACAAGGGCACTCTCTGCTGGATTAAGAGCTGGCTGGAGGGCTGGGCCCAGAGAGTGCTGGTAAATGGGGCTGAATCCAGTTGGGGGCTGGTCACCAGTGGTGTCCCCCAGGGATCAGTGTTGGGCTCAATTCTATTTAATATCTTTATTGATGAACTGGATGAGGTGATTGAGTGAGGGGATTTGCAGATAACACCAAGATGGGGGGGAGTATCAATCTGCTGGAGGATAGGAGGGCTCTTCAGAGGGATCTGGACAGGCTGGATAAATGGGTTGAATCCAATGGTATGATGTTTGACAAGACCAAGTGTTGGGTCCTGCACTTTGGCTGCAACAACCTCCTGCAGTGCTACAGGCTGGGCACAGAGTGGCTGGAGAGCAGCCAGGCAGAAAGGGACCTGGGAGTTTGGATTGACAGGAAGCTGAACATGAGCCAGCAGTGTGCCCAGGTGGCCAAGAAGGCCAGTGGCATCCTGGCCTGGATCAGGAACAGCAGGACCAGGGAAGTGATTCTTCCCCTGTACTCAGTGCTGGTGAGGCCACTCCTGGAGTATTGTGTCCAGTTCTGGGCCCCTCAGTTTAGGAAGGATATTGAGGTGCTGGAGCATGTCCAAAGAAAGGCAACAAGGCTGGTGAAGGTATTGGAGCACAAGTCCTATGAGGAGAGGCTGAGGGAGCTAGGGCTGTTTAGCCTAGAGAAGAAGAGATCCAGGGGAAACCTCATCACTCTCTACAACTACCTGAAAGGAGCTTGGAGCAAGGTAAGGGTTGATCTCTTCTCCTGGGCAACCAGCAGTAGGATGAGAGGGCACTCCCCTTTCTTAAGCTCTGCCAGGGGAGTTTTAGATCAAACACTAGGAAGAAATTCTTCCTAATGTCTCTCCTTACAGAGAGAGTGATCAGACATTAGAATGGACTGCCAAAGAGGTCATGAATTCACCATCCCTGGAGGCATTTTAAGAAGAGACTGGATGTGGCACTTAGTGCCGTGGTCTAGTTGACAAGGTGGCATTGGGTCATAGGTTGGACTCAGTCTCAAAGGTCTTTTTCAACATAGTTGATTCTGTGATTCAATGTCCTAGATTTTTTTAAAGTAACCAGTGTAGCAGGACAAGATTTCACAAACACTAAGTAAACAGTCCCTGCATATACACTCATTGTCAAGGCATCTCATATTTTCTCTAAATACAATGCAGTCTCGTTGTATAGTAGACTATGGATTAAGGATTTCTGGGGAGAAACTCTTCAGACTTTCTTAAATTTTGTAAGCTCTCTAGCATCTTAGTATTGAAATGATCACTGGGAAAGTAAATATTCTCAGAGTATGTATGGTTATAGAATCAGCAATGCTGATTTTAGAAAGAAAGCTGCATACAGGTCACATTACAGAAAATGAAATGAGGACCAAAATGCTGCACTGCACCTGCTTATTGGGAATACTTGTGCCAAATCATTTTGGTCACAGTGTACAGAGCTGTTAACAGGTGCACAGTAACAATTATTTCCTTTTTTAGCATTTTGAACTGATCTTACTTGGAAAAACCTTCAGACCTTCTATTGTGAGGTGCCTTACCAGAAAGAGCTTCCTGATGGAATAGATCAGTTACACGCTTCATGATGTCCTTTTTACTGTTCTCTTACTGTATTTTCCTAGGTGCTTAGTTTGTAAAGGTCTCTGAGAGGTAGGAAAAAGCAAGTGGCAAACCTTTGTGAAGAATTTCTATCAGAAATTGCTCGTCTTTCTTAAAGGAAATGTCTTTATAATTGACTGTTTGGATGTGGGTTATTCCCAGTGTAGTATGCTGGGGTGTGCTACTACTAAGTGAAACATATGTGAAGGAAGATATTTGATCTTAGCAGGTAGTAACTGGAAAATAATTAAGAAGTTACTTGGAGTTTTTTGCTTTAATATCCAATATAAACCATAAGTATAATCAAGGCACAGTTATTCTGTTTCTTTCAATGAATGTTTAAGTTAAACACCTGTAAATACTAGCATTTGTTTAAAAAGTGTGATGAGCATTGATTAGCTGAGATGGACACCTAGAGAGATAAATAGTAACAGAAACCTTGAATTCATGAACTTGACAAGTCATTAGAAACTACAGTTTCAGGAATGGATGAAAAAAACCCCAACCATAGAATCAAAACATTTTTCCACACAGATCTTGGAGGAGGGAACACTTAAGAGTCATACCCCATTTTACCCTATAGACTTTCTTCTCGGTCTACACTTCTATTTTAAATAGGAACCTTATTTTTTACAGAGTAGATGTGCTTTCTTAGGACTGTGTTCTGTGGTCCTCTTAAAAGTCATGGGGGAAAAAGGCCTATTGAAATTAGTGGTCTTGATAGAGCCTGTCAATGGGAATTGGAAAATGTCAGAATTTATTTGAAGATGCTGCCCCTATATTTTAAATGGAATTCAGTGTCCTAAATTCTAGTAAATATCTTAAGTCTGGAGATGATGCGGATGGCTCAAATGTTAGTCGGACTTGGAGGGAGCATTTTTTAATTGAGAAACTGCTTTGTTTTGTCTTCCTAAATGCCAGTGTTTCAGTGGGCATTTTCACTTCCCCCACCTTCACTTTACTAAAGTCAAGCTCTAAAATCCTTTATTGGCTGAGATGAACTTTTCTCTGTCTTAACATTGCAGAGGCAGCTGGCATGCATGAGAAAGACATAAGAAGGAAATGTTAGTTTTTCTAGATACTGGAGAAATACAGAACTCTTAAAATAACTGAGGAGAACACCTTGTTCCATATGTCAGCAAAGAGGAAGTACTGCTGTGCTGTCTAGTCAGCAAACAGTCTGGAAAGTAAAATAACAAATGTGGAAAGTTCATCATATCTTGACAAGAAGTTTCTGTGAAGAGACTGAAATCTGCAGAAATGTCTCCAAATGGCAATAGAGATTATCAGTATAAATAGCTCAGTAAAAGAATTCAGAGGTGAAAGCAGAAATATTTTGCATGGGAAGCAGCTACTACTCCAAAGGCAGAGACAACATTTCCTAAGTTTTTATTTGCTATTTCTACTGGTGCTAAGCAACTCAGGAATAAGGAGTCAACTTCTGTTTGCCTTAAAGAGAAATGTAAATACATTCTGCGTGGACTTGAAATGTATTGTGACAAATAAAGTTTGGGAGTTTGGTTTTTGCATAATAATGGACTTATTTTCCTCATATGTATTCCCAAATGTATAATCAGTCCTGAAAATATTGTTTTCTGTAAAGGGAACTGCATGAAACTAATATTGTAGGTACATTTCATATAATATGAATTGCTGAAGTAGTTTTTTTTGGAAGTCAGTCAGATGCTAACCTTTCTTCTATTTTCCAAAGTCAGCCACAGAGCTGATCTGGCTCAACTACTGCTATCTAATTATCTCTGACAGCACCTTGGATTTTACCAGACATCTCCTTGTTCTGAAGAATGGGGTTTCGGTCCTCAAATGCACTTGTATTTCTCAGCCTGATTTTAAAAGATGAAGTCAGACTGACAGTCATCAAGCATATACATCTTTGAGTTGGAAGTTTGAGTCAGCAGAGTTCCAGTAGGATATAGGGTATGCACATGCCCCTGACTATTTTAGAGCACCTAAGTACTAGTCTCCATTGCATTGAAGACTTCCCATTCATGTTGAATTTCCATAATGTGTTATTGTGGGCCAGATGTGGCTCACAACTTCACTTCTTGATGATTGTTGGGGGGGGGGGGGTTTGTGGGGTTTTTGATTTATTTTTTTTAATAAGATAACACTGGGGTATGTGCTAATGTCCTGCAAAATGCGCTCTGAAGAGGCACTTTTTTCTTCATTTGGGGTTACCAGACACAGGAGCTGGGTGAGATTCTTTGAGCTTCCTACTTTCTGATCTGCTGTTCAAATACAAATACGATTTCCTTCTGGCCTGCTTCAGCTAAGGTTGTCAGAGAATAAAGCATCTGTTAGATGCTGTCATTTACTGAATCTTGTTATGACATACCAATGTATTTTGATGGTCCCCGCAGGTGACACAGAAAAGAATAGGGGCTCTGCTGATTAATTCTCCATCTCCTGCATGCACTGAAGGCAACTGGTTGTATAAGTCAAACAATACCAGAAGCAGTTTCACACACAGCAGCCCTTAAAATCTCCTCCTAAATCTTCTTAAGAATTCAGAAGTCTGAGTTGGATAAAGGGAGGAGGACTTCTACCATATACACTCCTTGAAACCGCATGAATTACTACTTAACGAGCAGCTCTTGTGCACAGATTATTTGCAGCCTGTGGGATAGCAAGATAATGGTCTGAAAACTTCATTTTCACCAACAACCACTTGCAGCACTGTGGCATGGGAATGATGCATGGTTTTTACCTACCAGGAACAGCAGCCCCCTGCAAGGAGTAAGTGGGGACAAAGAAAGTATTTTAAGGATTCATAATTTTTATCTGCTTCTATCTTGCTATATAATGGGTGTTTCTCTATGCTTATCCTCATTATATTTCCAAGCTGGAGTTTTCTAGCTCTCTCCATGGTCTGCTTCATCAGTAATATAAAATAAATAAATATTTACTAAGCAGCGAGGTGCATTTCCCAGCTAAGTTAGAGTGATCCAGGCATGTGGCTCTTACACCTTACACTGGAGCACTTTGAATGTGTTCTTGTCTTTGAGAAGCGAAAGAGGCAGCTGGTGAAGCAAACAAATGAAATGTAGGGAAAGAAACTGCTTGGGTCCTGTTTGAGAATGCTGTCAGTTTTGCTATGGAGTGTCCTGGGAGTACGTGCTCCTAGGGGGCAGGTGAAACCTCTTGCTGTGTTTGCATGATGCCTGCAGTCATGAGGCTCTCGTCAGAGTGACACTCGTGATACCAACACAGCTGGTAGAGCTAAATGCTGCTACCTAATCCAATTCAGTCTGATATTAACAGGAAATTCATTATTACTATAGCGCTAATATTACCACAGGATATAATAAAATTAGGCTGCTCACAAAGCCACGGGCATTTTGTCCACTGGGGGTCCTGGGCTAAAACAGCTTTTTTTCAGGCATTTTAAAAG